GCAATGGACAAGCACACGAATTGGCCTCTTCTTGCCTCCACGCTTCCGACCACCTCCCTGAAGCTTCATCGCCTCCAACAAAGCAAGAGCATTACCGAGCTCACCAGGGAATGTCTCATCGGCCACCTTCAAGGCACTCTGCCTTCCATCGGCACTCTGCCTTCCATCAGCGGCTCTTCCGAACAGGCTGCCCATGTCACTTCCCTTGCTGAAGCCCTTGTCATAGGAGCAGCCATAGCCAAATGAGCCCTTCGTCGATGCCTTCTGGCTTTGCATGTGATTGGAAACCTGACAGGGGCCGCTGTAGCCCTTGCTGATTGTCTTGCCCTTGCCCCTGCCGCCATTGGCCTTGCCCATCATTTTGCCCTTGATGGCACTCTGCCTTTGACTCTGGCTGAACTCCTCTGCTGAGCGCTGCCAGCACATCATAATCTTTCTGAAATCTGAAATGAGGCGGCGCCAAATGGTCTTGAACTCATGACTTCTTTGTTCAGCATCAAAGTCATTGGCATGTGTTTGATCCCAGCCACCATACCGAAGATGTGCAGTGCCAAACGGTCCACAATTCGCCAAATACTGATACCAGTCCCATGGCTCAAAATTCCGAGGTCTGTCATCTGCATTCATAGAGATGACAATGTCAGGCTTGACCCGGAGCTGGTCATATCGGATCGGGCAACCAATACTGCCAACAAACAGTTGCCACTGGGGATGGTCGTAAATCAAAACATCATCCATGGGCCACGTCTCGACATCATGCTGGCATGGCCGAGGTGGCGGGATCGACCCAGGCAGCACATCTGTCTGGCCGGTCCATGCTTTGTACAACTTCATATCCATATCTCCGAAATCTGAGATGGCCTCAACTGCCAATTTGATTCGTTGATCCAATTGTGCAGCCCTTTGGATCTTTCGGAGCCCGGTGGTATAGTCGGCAGCTGATCTGCCACAGTGTAAACAATTCCACCGAAGTTGTTGCACGGCTTCGTTCCAGTAATCACTGCCAAGGTCAATGTGATTGGCCTGATTCTGATGGTCAGCAGCAGAAGTCTGGCACTCTGCCTCGGAACTCCCTGAGCACCTTGAAACGGTCGTCGGCATCACTGCTTTCATCGAGCACCCAATTGTCCAACGATTAAAACATTAACAGTGACTAATGCATCACTATACAGTACATTAACCAATGATATGTAACATTGTGTTACTACTGTTACATCAGTATGAATGAATCACTTGATTATCTGGCCGGCAGATGTCGATCATGTATGGTGCAAGGCAACTCACTGACAGACTATGCAGGCAGGCAGGCAGGCAGCCAGCCTCGGAGACAGCAGGGTCCTGAGGACGTCACTGCCACCCGGCACTGTGTAGTCAGCATGTCATGCTGGGTAACCTTTTGGAATCCAAGTTGCGCACACTACCGCTGAGGTCTCCAATCGGACAGTCTAGCTCTGCTGGCTAGATCGTCGAATTCAAAATCCTCTAAGCACACGCAAACCCGGCACTCTGCCTTCCCCAACATCCGTAATGCGGTCTCGGAGGCTGTACAAACACGATGAATCACTGATTCATCATTGACGACAGAGCTTCGTCTCGCACGTCATTGTAATATAAAATTCCTGGCACTCTGCCTTCACTGTAATCCTGCATAAATCTCGGAAAGAGTACGTGCAGGATCATATCATTGATATGCCAGTCTACTTGCAAGACATGCCCACGCTCTTCAGAATTCAGAAAGAACCACAATGTCGAAAAGGACTCCTCTAGCAGCGCGTCGAAATAAATCACATAATCATCGTAGTCACTGTCCATGATCGAGGCCACAGTGCTTGCACGCTCATCGGCAACCAGAATCCAGTCCGAGTCCAGAGACTCACTGTCACTGCACGACATCGACGACATCTGCCGGCTTGCAGGGGGGCCTACTACGACTTAGACTAGAGACAGAGCAGGTCGTCGGCATCACTGCTTTCATCGAGCACACAATTGTCCAACGATTAAAACATTAACAGTGACTAATGCATCACTATATAGTACATTAATCAATGATATGTAACATTTTGTTACTACTGTTACATCAGTATGCATGAATCGCTTGATTCTCTGGCCGGCAGATGTCGATCATGTATGGTGCAAGTCAACTCACTGACAGACTATGCAGGCAGGCAGCCAGCCTCGGAGACAGCAGGGTCCTGAGGACATCACTGCCACCCGGCACTGTGTAGTCAGCATGTCATGCTGGGTAACCGTTTTGAATCCAAGTTGCGCACACTACCGCTGAGGTCTCAAATCGGACAGTCTAGCTCTGCTGGCTAGATCGTCGAATTCAAAATCCCCTAAACACACGCAAACCCGGCACTCTGCCTTCCCCAAGATCCGTGATACTGTCGCGGAGGCTGTACAAACACGACAAATCATTGATTCAGTGACGACAGCCATTCGTCTGTCACATTGAAATATAAAATTCCTGGCACTCTGCCTTGCCTAAAATCCCGCAAAAGTCTCGGAAACAGTACGAACATGATCTGTTCATTGATATGGAAGGCTGCTCGAAAGACTTGCCCACGCTCTTTAGAATCCAGAAACATCCACAATGTCGAAAAGGACTCCTCTAGCATCTCGTCGAACGGAATCACATAATCATCGTCGTCAGCACTGTCCGCGACCGAGCCCGCAGTACTTGCACCCTCATCGTCAACCAGAACCCAGTCCGAGCCCACAGACTCACTGTCACTCCACGACATCGACGACATCTGCCGGCTTGCAGGGGGGCCTACTACGACTTAGACTAGAGACAGAGCAGCTGTAACACGACTATAGTAGATTACGCAGGGCAACAGCGAGCACAACTGCTGCAGCGGCAAGTTGCGATACATGACACGCTCACTGACTATGCAAGGCAGCTTGTCCTCTGCGATGGCAGCATGTCCTCGGGATCCTCGTCATGAGCCTCGGTGCCAGGACTGTACCATAATAATGGAAGTAGCTGAAGCAAGCTGATGCTGAGATCCCAGCAGTTGGCATCCACTTCTCGATGGGCTGGAAGCCGATGAAGACCGATGGGAGAGAAGGAAATGGAAGAGAAGGCGTTCACTAGGCTTGGATTCAAACCGAACACTTAGACCTGGCCAACGGTGTGGGGAGCAACCCCGATGGGGCAGGGACTTAAGTAAGGCAACCTCGAGAGGCTCGACTGGCACTCTGCCTCTGTCGATCCAAGTCGCAAGGCTCCCTAACTAACGTGACAAGCATGGATGGCCTCCCCTCCTGGTTGGGAGAAAAATAAAAAAGCCACAACCACTGGACCACCCCACCCGGCACTTTAGCCCATGTGCCCGGGTGTCATATGCCACTGCCCTGGCACGTTGGCCCCAAGGCGGTCCAGGTACCATCGACAACACCTGACACCCGGCCAACGGTGTCCACGAACCGAGATGGGCAGTCGATCCGTGTGGGTAAGGTGGCACTCTGCCTCTGTCGATCCAAGTCGCAAGGCTCCCTAACAAAACGTGACGACAAGCATGGATGGCCTCCCCTTCAAGGCTGTAAGCACGGCTGCGAACAACCCCTCAACCGCCCCACCCGGCACTTTAGCCCATTTGTCCGGGTGTCATATGCCACTGCCCTGGCACGTTGGCCCCAAGGCGGTCTAGATACAATCGCCTCATAACCTGACACCCGGCCAACGGTGCCCACGAACCGAGAAGGGCAGTCGATCCGTGTGGGTAAGGGCAAGATCTCAAGGCAAGTCAACATGTCACTACGGCCTCCCTTCTTTGTTCAATCACAACCCAAAACTATTTAAAAAGATTAAATATTAAAAATTATTAACTTCAACAACAAATAAACAACAATTTTGTAGACATACAGCAGCAGGAAACCAGGTAGAACAACAGGAAGCCAATTGACTCACTCAGAAACAAAATTCACAAACATGTATTTTTTACACCAAAAATAAAATAAAAGAATTTTAACAACTGTAAAACACAAAAAAACCTATTTAAAAAACTTTTAAATACAAAACAATACTTTTAAATACAAAAAAACACTTTTAAACACAAATAAAGCCAACCACATACAAAAATGAGATTTTGGGTTCCTTTCATATAAGCCTTGTTGATCTAAACCCTGTGGTTCTGGTTCGGCGCAAAGGGTTAAGGACCTTTTCTGTTTCTGTTCGAACACAAACCTGGTCACCAAGGATCTCATTGATTCCTTCCGGGCGAGATGCTTGGACATGAAAGTGCCTTTGCGACCGAGAATATTTCCTGCCGAAGAGCCACCTGCTGCTTCAGAAGCAGCCGAGCCGGCCACCTCTGTTAGTGAAACTAGCCCTGGAACCAGCTACTGCAATCTGCGAACACTTTATCTTGATTGTCGGGCCGCCGTCAAGGGTGTACTGCAGCTACACAAGGCTCTGCTACGATGAAATGGTATGGTGTGTAGTAATTTAATTTAAATCTACCGGAGGGTCTCATTCTGCCAAGCCCCTCTGCAGGTTCTGGACCAGGACCAGAACCTCCAGGGATACACTTTTCTCTGGAGAGTGGAGGAGGCATGGCAAGTTATGAAACGGCAAACAGCCTTTCATAATTGGTTCACGAAAGTGTACCTTGGACTGTGGTGGCAGGGTTTCCTACAATGCAAGTATTTCGTCACTGCTACTCATGTAGCAAATGTGCCTAAGGCAAGACCTCCAGGGTGCCCAATTGGCCGATGCATGGCGAGTGGCATTCTCTGTTCATTTCATTAGAAGACAACACTATCGTGGCCACAAAGCAGCTGTGCTGGATGACCGGCCACGAATCAGCTTCGACGGCATGACCACACCCGGTCTGTTGTTTTCTGTGCTTTGGCACCAATAACAGGAGCAGATGTGCACGCACTGCAGTCGCGATGCTTCTTATTTTATGTGCTTGTCCACTTGCAATGCCAAGGTGGCCTGTGGGCTGCAAGTGCGGGGCTGCAAGCCTCAGTTGCAGAAGTCTGCGATTGCAGCAATGGAAGTGATCACAGGAGCTGCCTTGCCGGCCGATTACGTGTTGGATCTTCTCCCCGGCAACGCTGAATGATCCTAGGACTAGATAAGCTTCATGCTTGCACCTTCAATGATTCAAGATTTCTGCAATGACTTCGTAGCTTAGGCTCCCTGACAATCAAAGACCGCCAAGTGGATCTTTCGGGATTGAAGAGTTTCCTCGACTACACCGGGCTCACCCAGAGGCTCGCGACTGTACTTGCCGCAACCAATCATAATCATATAGCTAACTAACTAACGACTAATTACTAGGTTCCTGAATAGCACCCTTTTACCCTTTTGGATTTTAGGGTTCCCTGATTAAAACCGACTAATAAGAAAGGGGCACCCTTGGTTCATAAATACGGGGCTACTGAGGGGCCTAGGTTAATTAGCTGTCAGGATTACTAAATTGATTAATAGTTACTTCATTCAATTCCGAAGCCCTGAACCCGAAGGTGGGAACGCAACCAGCTGCTGACACCTGCACAGCGAAGCCTCCACACAGGCCTATGTGGAATCCGAAGTTCATGCTCAATTGTTGGACACAGTGTTTGCTGAGACTTTGCAGGAGTCCGAATGTCTACGGTGGCATGGTTCATCTTTCGGGCACCTTTTCAGGAGACCTTTCAGGACAGCCGCTGAATAGGGCGAATAGTAGGGGACTCCGCCTTGAAGCATAAGCCGCTGACTGTGCCAGGACGAGATTCGGTTTAGCCGGCTGCACAAGCGACTGATTCATCGCCTGTCGCAGCTGGTGGAGACCCACCTGAGCAAAGTGCTTCAGGCTACGTTGCCCACACCGCAAAGTGGAGATGTTCTGCACCCGGCTAAAAGGCCACTCGGCAACCACAAGTAGGGTAGACCTAGCAGTTTGTTCGAAGTACACGTGGCAATGCGATTCTCTGTTGATAGCGACCTGACTCAGGGATGGGCGGCGAGCCCGTGGCGAGCCGAAAGTGCAGAACATGCTGGCAATCGACAGGTTCATGACAAGAGGCGGAGGATTCGTCAGCTCCACCGCAGACAGCAGCCTGGAGTCCTTGGATTTGGGTGGAATCCTCCCTCCCAACTACAATCGGACCTTCGTCTGAGTTTTGTTTTGCTGAGCTACTGGGGCCTGTTGCTGTTGGGTTCTAAACCAAACAAATTTTGCACCTGCAAGGACAACGGCGGATTTTGTCTACAGACATATTCGAAAAACTGGCGAGATGCTATCCCAGGCTCCCGCTGGCATTCAGTAAATGTAAACCATGTAGAGGCAGACGCAGTTGTCCGCAGGAGATGGCACAGCAGTCGCTGAAGAGCTTGGCCTTCTTGTGCGACGCATCACCGAAGGGATGTGTTGATGTATTTCGGCTAATCTAAGAATGTGCAACAGTCTCTTGGTGATTCTGAATGCATGTGCTGCTGAACCCGAGGTTTGGCTCCCTGTCGTCGCAGCGAATCAGTTTGCATCCGTGGCAACTTTACAGAAGCTGTCGGCTTTGCTGCCGAGCACTGCTGATGCTTCGGAAAAGATGAAAGCCGCTCAACAAGTGGCCGACTCCACTACAAAACTGTTGGTTGCAAGCCGGGACAAGAAGGAGCATCGACCCAAAATGAAGCTGGGCTAGCAATTGCTTTGTGGTTTACTGTACGCTGCTTATTACATGTACAGGCACAGCCCATTGCTTGATTCAGTGATTGCAGCATACGACAGATTCCCATCAATCCAAAAAGGCCCAGAATCATCAGCGGCCTGCACCAAGACAAGCTCACCGCCAGAGAGCACATCCGAGCGGTTGGCAATGTCCTGAATCACTTGGGAGTGGCATTGGATGACATTTTTCCAAAGAGCCCCCTAAAGCCTCTGGCCCCAACTTCTGAGATCTTGGCGACTTATGAAATGGACGGCAAGACTATGCCTTTCGTTGCATCTCTTCAAGACGCGACTTCAAGATGGGACGTCCCGGACACTGAGTCCGCACATGTTCGATTGATCGTGTGCCCTGACGAGGGCAGCCCGATGTTCAGCAGCTATGTGTTTTTGGCCACCCGGAATGCCGCCATCAATTTGTGCCGCGATGAATTGCTACTAGGCTGCTACTTGTTTCATTCAAGGGAATGCAGCGCCGAATGCCAGAATTACTCCATAGTCATAATCGTTGCCCTGCAACAGCCAAGGCACAAGCTGAGCCAGCATTGCCAGCGAGTCCTGGCATCGTCGCCTATGATGAAGCGATCCTCGGATGAGACTAGTTCGGGTTCTGTCCTGGATTTTTGTGTGTGGCAGCTGCTAGGGACATTGTGGGTTTGAGGAATGAGTACGCTCACTTCGTGGCTTTTCAGATGTCGCAAGAGCCCGTGGAAAACGCACGGCCTTGGCTGCAATCTCTGTGCCGCTGGCAAGCGATATCTTGATGTGGTCACTGGGAAGCACTTAGACCCTAGTTAGCCTAGTTGCTCAACACTGCTGATGGCTGTGAATCACAAGCTGCTTCGTGCTGCCGAGGCTGCACCTGATGATGTTCTTCAGCAGCTCTTCGGCCACCATACCCTGATTGAGAAGCTTGGCTGGGAATGTACTATCCTTTCTACCTTTCTCGCTGTCCTGTCCACAAACCAGGAACAACATCGCCCCCGAGTGCGACGAGCAGGTGAATTTCGATCGGGTATCCGAGATTCTTGGGAAGCTCTGCAGGACGCGGTTTTGCCAGATCAAGTCTTCTCGCAATCCAATACCGTGACCTCTAGGGTTAAGTCTGTACATATGTAGACGAACACAACAAATGAATTTGTATGTTTGTATGTATATATATATATATATATGTATATGTGTAGATACAGAGAGCGAGAGGAAGAGGCAGAGAGAGATAGAGATACACAGACCATCTAGTGACGACTACTTCTGAAGGATCCATCAAGAGAGCTACGAGCACAAACGATGGTGTAGCTGGGCTTTTGCCTCCCGGAGATGCCAATTCTCCGGAACACTGTTGCTGATGTTCTGGTCTGGAATGGAGGCAATGCGGGTGCAATGTTTGCTGCAGGGACGCTTGCATGAACACACAAAGCCCTAGTCTTGCGATCTTGTTGCCAGACTGGCCACAACCCCTTTGCAGTGCTGGACAAAGCGAGCCAAGAGACTCCGGAGAAGTCTTGGGACAAAGTACTTGATTTGTGCATCAAGGCCCGAACCGATCCTTCAAGCACCCTCCAAACCAAGCCTGTTACTCTCAATCCTGCAACAGGCTTTGTGTGATGAGCAAGTCCACACCCTCTGGAAGTTCGGCCGCGAGCTCATGAAGCCCTTCCGCGACATGTGCATCGACCTCGTGCCTTGATTAATAATGAGTTCGTGTGAGCTTATGAGTGTGGCTTACAAGTATTTGCCAATTGCTGATCTGAACTAAGCAGCAGAAGAGCAAGAAGCTCATGGCTTTGCATGATCATGTGCTAAAGATGAACTCCGACTTCCTGGAACGATCTCTTAGCAACCTGGCTGCCGAAGTGCTGTGCTCCTCTCGGCTCCACCAGCCGCCAGACATCATCGGGATTGCAGACGAGGCAGGGCATCGAGGAGAGCAGCCACTAGTCGGGTTTATTATCCTAGCCTAGGGCACAACCCGAATCCCTGAACCCAATACGAACTAACTAACTAATACCGTTCCTACACCAAAACCGAACCTGGCACGCAAACTGCAGTGTGGAATCGAGGTACAAGCATTGCCGGGTTACGTAGCACGACGATCATGAAACCAACTCGAAGAAGGGCTGAGTAGCTGCAGAACAAAAGCCGGCAGGCAGCACAATCTTGGATGTGCTGGCTTGGGGGATTGAGGGCTTTACTCCAGTCCAATACACAGCTGCTTCGATCCCGAAAACCCACGCCCTAACAGCAGTGTCACACGCAGAGAAACACAGACGGAAACAGGGAGGGAGAGAGAGACAGAGAGACAAGGAGAGAGAATGAAGCAGAACAAACATAGATAGGAGAAAACTACGAAAGCAGCAGACGAGGAGGAGGGAGCGAGAGAGAGAAAGAGAGAGAGAGAGAGAGAGAGAGAGAGAGAGAGAGAGAGAGAGAGAGAGAGAGAGAGAGAGAGAGAGAGAGAGAGAGAGAGAGAGAGAGAGAGAGAGAGAGAGAGAGAGAGAGAAAGAGAGAGAGAGAGAGAGAGAGAGAGAGAGAGAGAGAAAAAAAGAGTGATGGTGACCCGAATCTGGGAGGGGTTCTTAAATAGTCACCAGTCGTGTCTGCAACACGTCGGTAGGAGAAGCCAGCCCAGTTGACCGCTGTTTCGATCGCTAGACAATTGACCCCACAAAGCGAACAGCGAGCGACCGAATCGGATGATGCATGCTCAGAAACGACTTCAAGGTATTCAATGATTGTACGCATGTTTGGGGCACACTTGTTTCCAAGGCCCAGGTGCGAAAACACACACGTATTTCAAATCGCCTCCCAGGTTCTATTTCGATGATTCAAGCAAAGAATGAGCAGCAAAAGCAGCAGCAAGTAACTATGGCCCGGTTTCGTTGATTCTGGAACAGGTCCTGAGCATTGGCTTTCGCCGATCGTTTTTGGACGAGGAGGTTCTGAAAGAGCAGGTGTTGGGCTTCCTGAGCTGTTGCCACGAGCTCCTGGAGTATGCACTTTACCTCCGAAGTTTCCCATGTCGGGCAGCCGCCTTCTGCTCAACACAGGCCACCGCGGAAAGCCGGAGCGACCTCCTCAAGGCTGCTGAGAATGAGTACAAGTTGATCAGAGAGATCGAGGCCACAGCCTCTGGCGCCAGTGTGCTCAAGCAGCATGCCTTGCACACCACGTTCCAGGTGTACCGGGAAATTATGGCCACAATGCAGATGCACAATTTCAAGGATTGCCAGGCAATTGCAGACATGGTGCAAGCATGGTTCCCTCGGTGGGGGCAATCGGCCAACTTGGAGCAGATCTTTCGAGAGATGGAGCAAGCTACGAAACGTGTGGGCCATGTGGAAAACTCGATGCCGAACCTCACTTGTGTGGCTGTGAGGGCCATGAGCAGGAGAGTTTGCTGTGGCGACGAGTGTCCGGCGACACCGACTTTGTCTGAGAAGGACTGGGAGGGCCAGGTGGTTCGCAACCTCAAGGACAAGATGTGGCATCCAACTTCAGCTCCCCCGTGCATCTTGGATTAGTTTGAAGTTTCAGAGACGGTTCCATTTGGGAAACACAGCAGCCAAGGCAAGAACGTGCGAATCGATGATATCTTGAAGCCCTTTACGACCATGTCCGCCTACTCTCAAACACACCACAACTTCAACTGTGTTTTGGGATGGAAGGAGGCGAAAAGGCCGGGCTCATTGTGTTACTTTTCTCGCTACTCTTGCAAACAACTGCCGAAGCAAACCTGCCTTTTAGCAAATCGTGTTTAGCAGGACCGGCACGAGCCCCATCGATTCGATGAGCAGTATGTGGGTGGCTGGATGCTTCCAAAAAGGAACACTCTTCCGGCAAGGAGGTGCATACTTTCTTTGCACCGGCAGAAGCCCTGCAATCGTGCACGCGACCAAATGATGAATTAGCACTTTTTCTGTTGATGTTTGGCAATGGATTCATAAGTAGTGCATGAATTAGTAGTCGTTTGTGTAAGGCCTGGGTATAGTATAGTTATAGACAGTCCCTCCATAAACCATCATAGACCCATAAGCCCATGAATATTTTGGTGCACGTGTTACTGTTCCAAATCTATTCAGATTCGAAAACAACTCTGCTGAGGCTGTCCGCCTCAAAGAGATTGTCTGGAGCTTTAAGGGCCCGCTGCCAGCTGAGACTGTGGACGAGAGGAGAATGCCGGCGAGCACGCACAAGGCGACGGAGACCCGGGAGCTTTTTGATGGGGAGGCAGACAGCACGCGGGCGCTGAGCATGGACAGTGGGCCGAGACACAGCTGATGATCTAAACTGTTGTTTTTGGTCGAGGGCTATGGTTGTGAATTCTTGTGCCTTATCGATCATAACTCGACGTTCTGTCTGCCTTCCAAGGAGCATGTTCACGCACCGCCTGTGTGGACTTCATGATGCTGCCCAGTTTACAACATTATGGAAAGCATTCTGAGACCGTAGCTTCAGACCGGTTTTCTTTTGACTTGAAACTATACACATTAGTGAACATTTAGAGGTCGAAATCTTCTGCTACACTTTGCACGTCTGCCCGACTTCGATGGAAAGCAAGTGCGGTGGGATCCTCTTTCGCAGAGGGCCGAAGCCGTATTCGTTGCTCGTGCACCTCTTCGTGTCGGAGAACATCATGAGCATCACATCCGCCGCCCTCTCCGACATCCTCACCGCCTACAGCATCCGTATGCCCAAGAACAGCAGCAAGCATGCAAAGATCACAAAGCTGATGACACTGGACGAAGTCAAGCAGGCGATCGGTGATGCTGGTGTGGCACGAATGGAAGCGAAGCTGCTCGAGATCGACAAGAACCGGCATTCAAAGAAGAAAGCAGCAGAAGCCGAAGGCGATGATGTCACCATGCACGAACCTAGATTCGAGAGTAGCTTTTTTTGGTGATGATCTGATATGCAACTCCTAGGAGCTAAACTCTATGATTTGTGTCTTGTTTCTTTGAGGACGAGACCGCGGCCGAGAAAGCCAATGATGAAGATCCGGCCGTGGCGGCCTGCTGCCAGCTGCTGGAGGAGCTGGGTGATGAGTCCGAGGCAGAAGCGGAGGAAAAGAAGGAGGAGAAGAAAGAGGAAGCAAGCGAGGCACGGCAGTGTTGAGTTCGGTAGTGGTTAGGGCCGGTTGGAGAGGTTACGATTTTATAATCCTTAGGAACCGAGTAGTAGGGTGAATTTCGTTTCTTTATCTATGTCTGCAAATCATTACAGTATTCCGTGTTGCAAAACCCAGGAGCAGACGACCCCAGCTGAGACCACTCGTGCTTCGAAAGCTTTGCTCAGCAAGACGCAGACGGTGCCACAGTGGCTGCTCGACAAGTTTCCGATTCCTACTGGTGGTTGGATGCACCATACGCAGTTTCGGGACAGCTCGCTGCCACTCTTTCAAGCAAAGCTACAGAATGGCAAGATTTTCGAAGGGCAGCGACAAAGCTGCAGTTTGAGTGTGCTGCGTTTTCTTGATTCATACCGGTGATCTTCTATGCCGGTTCCGCATCAGCTAAGGAACAGTGTGAGCGCCTCTTACAATCCCGATTTGAATGTCGAGCAGCTGAATGAGAGAATCACCTTGGCGAAAACCATGCCTGCGAGGGAAAGGAGTATGTCGCAAGCCTATTTCTTCGCCTGGAGCTGGCTGAATAGAGCTTTGAATCCAGTGCGTTTGGGAGACAAGAGGAAACGAAAGCGAGCGGAGGCATGAAAGGGAGACTTAGAGATCACATAAGAATAAAAAAAGCTGCTGAGCATGCCTTCGGATGCTTTTTTCGGTTTCCGAACTGGGCGCAGAGACACAGTGTGCGTGTGTCAAAACAAGAGAGGACCGGACATGAAACAGTTGAGACAGCATGCAAACATCTTTGGAGAACGAAGTTCCAGGCGGCATGCAAAGGGTAACCCTTGACTGTAAGGGCTCCCAACAGTACTTATGAAAAGGTGCCTCTACAGGACCATAGGCAAATCAAAAGTGCCCCGAAGCTCCACTGAGGGGTGGGTTCTGAGGCATGGCATTCACATACATACACCCCGTGCCATATACCCTAAACCCAAGATTCGAAATCCTCCCCCCCAGACTCCCAACAGCCTGGATCTGGCGAGTCGATCCTATTTCTGTTCGATCTGCAGGGCTTGCGGTTCGGGTTACTTGGAGGATCATGGAACTTAGTAAGTAGGCTATAATTGGGGTTATAAGTCCCCTAAGTGGGGTTATCCTAATTATAAGCTACTTATAACCTTACTTACTAAGTCCCATCAGCCTTCAAGCAGGGTTTACTGTTTCCGGCTCGGGCGTTTAGGTGTGGGAGGTCCCCAACTAGCGCAAGTGAGCAGTTGGCCAAGGTGCTGCACCGCTATCCGAACCCAAAAGTCCAGAATCCGCAGAACAAATCCTTCAAAGTTCATAGGTTCATAGGCCAAGGTGTATCTTTTACGAGTACATGGAACCTTTTGGCAAAGTAGATGCACTCTTGATTTGTTGCCCTTAGTCTTGTGTGCTGAGCATTCAAAGGTCGTCGACTCTCATCGTCTGAAGCTCACAGCCCGAGTGTTATCTATACCCCCCTTAGAACCATAATAAAACTATATGTTTAATATTCTCTTGGGTGGCTTTACTGTCTCTTCAGGCCTCTATACTACGGTTGATGATACAAATCTTGCATTACCTTAAGGACCCTAAACCATGGGAATTATGGCATGGTCCTTATGATGGCTAATGCTGGATTTATATCATCAACCGTACGAAGAGAATTCCTGGATGAAGCTTCCAGCAGCAGCATTTTGCTGAAGCTCCAAACACCCGTCACTGCCCGGAAATCCTAAACCTTCTGGGCCCCAACCTAGGGGCCTTAATAATAAGAATAGGATTCTGGGGTATATTATACTATGCTTATAATAAGGAACCACCAAAATACTAAGGCCCTTGTCTAAACCGCAAGCCCTCAAAGCTCTGAGCAGCACTTCCAGCACAAGAGCTGGATTCACGACGCGTTCCACGCCGACAAAACCCTACACCATATAAACCCCCGAACCTCAGCCAATAAGCCCTGCCCCACTCCGACCACTTCCCCAAAGAGACATTAAACTCTAATCCTCTAAAACCCTGTGCCCGGCCAGCCCTACCCGAAACCCTAAACCCTAAGCCCTAGCATGTCACTCGGGCGTCGACGCCCCATCGTCCTTGTCCCTCGACATCAAAGGACCCTGATGAGGGCTTTCGGCTTAGGCTTTAGGGTTTAGGGGTTTTCTGTGCCTGGTAAAGGGGCCTGAATAATTGGAATGGGCTGTCGGGCATAGTATGCTATAACAAGGAAGCGAAGGACTACTTCAGGCTTCCATACTAAGGTTTCCGGCTCTTGGCGTTGCTGGTCCCTATATGCCCAAAGGGTAGTTGCTGTGCAGCACTTTAGGGCTCCAGCCCTAACCCGTAAACCCCTAAAACCCTAAACCCTGAACCCCCAAAACCCTGAACCCCTAAACTCTATGAAACCCTAAACCCTATTCAGAAGGCTCTCTGGACGGAGATAGACCGGGTCTTCCGTGAGACACGGGTTGTGTTGAGGGTTTCGGGCTCGCTAGGGTCATGGTGTTTAGGGTTTATAGGGTTTCAAGTTTGGGGCCTGGGTGGCAATAAGTTGGGGGGATGTAGGGACACATGTACTTCCTACATAACTATACTGTAGCATACCCCCCAAAACCTTGCTTTCACTACTAGTACTCATTTTTAATAAGGGCCTATAATCCCATAAGGGTCCTTGCTGGTGACCTCAACGCTTCCGCGTGGTTGGGGCAAGGAGCTGGTTCCCCCAGAACCGATAGCATCAATATAGGGGCCTTACTGGGGGAGTAGGGGTTTGGGGAGTATAGTATGAAGAAGAACGACTAAAGTTAGTAATGCTTCAGCCCCCGACATTGACACACCCAACTCCTTGAGGCACGTTGTCTGATGTTGTACGCGCCGGGAAGTGCAGTTTGGAGATCCAATATGGGGGCGTTAATAAGCAGAATAGGCTTTTGGGGTAAAGGATACTATAATCATAACAAGGAGCCCCCCAAAGTCACAGGTAATTATTGAAGCCCCTATATTATCAACTGGCGAGTGCGGACATACCCGGAAGACTGCAGAGCACCGCAAGAAGGGCCTCGGCTAAAGGAGACTTGCTCCGCGCATGGAAGGTGCCGTCTATGGCATGTCTAAATATGCATAAAGGATCATGGGACTTAGTGTTGCTTAGAATCCCGGTTAGGCTACTTATCACAAGACCTCACTCGAAATTTGTAGACCGAAACACTCAGACACCAGACTCTTGGCCCGCATATGCAAACGGAGCAGTCTTTAATTGAACTTGCAGCCTCATGGCCAGCATCCTACACCGAGGACCTTATCCTAATTCGGGTTATAAGTTATATACAAATATAAGTACAGTTACCGTATTCATAACCTCAGTTGCTAGATCCCTGATCCTTTGAGTAAGCCCTACCTTAGATCGACTTGGTAGGGAGACAGCACAGAGCCATCTTAGAACCTTGTACTCCTTTCGAACAGTTTCATCTTCTAATCACCCTGCAACATAATCCTCTCAACACCCTTTGATCCAAATACTTCATAACAATCATCAACCCTACTGTATACTCGTTGAAAGCCTAAGAAACACCGATACTCCTCAACAGAAAAGCCTAAACCCTAAACGCGCAACCCTCTGCATGACCGAAGCCAGAAGCCTGACTGCTTGTGGAAGAAGCAGCTGGCGCATCTGGAGCCATTAGGGATGTTTTGGGGTTTAGGGTTTCGGGTTAGGGCTTCAGAGGTTGCAGGTGGTGGGCTCAATGGTTTAAGGCCACAAAATCGATGTGGTTAGGGGTTTAAGGCTGCAAAATCTAGCAAAGACTCGGGCCTGGGTTGTTACTCGGGAGGATACTTCCCCAAACCATAACAGTAATTCCTAAGATAAAATATATAGAAACCCTAGGGCCCGAATTGCTCCCACCGGCGGGAGAAGATCGTAGTGCCCCAGAACCCTGTCGTTGCCCTTCGTGGTGGGGTTCGCCATGTGCGTCGCAACGACGTTCCTGTCTGCTGGCTTGGAGACTGGCAGCTACCGCGCAAAGGGCGCATCCAATGCGCTCAGCCGGAACCCCAGACAGCAGCCAACTATCCAGCAGCCTGCGGAGTTCGACGTTTGGTTATGCGTTCAACCGGAGCCTAGAGGGCAGCCGACTACCCAGTAGCCTGCGGAGTTTGACGTTTGGTTATGCGTTCAACCGCAGCCTAAAGGGCAGCCGACTACCCAACAGCTTGCAGAGTTTGATGTTTGGTGGCGAGTTCAACGTTGGTCTGTGGAGTTTGACTGGCAACTTGCAGAGTTTGATGCTTGGCTGCGAGTTCAGCCAGAGCCTGGAGAGAACACAACTACCCAGTAGCCTGCGGAGTTTGGCTTAGTTATGCGCTCCACCGGGGCCAGGAGGGCAGCCGACCATCCAGCAGCTTCTGGACAGATCAGTGCTGCTACGTGGGAGCCGTGCGGCCTCGTGCAGATAGAGATTTTGCGTTGGGGCACGCTGTTCATCGCCGAACCAACTGTGACCGTCGAGGCGCTTGTGGAGCAAGAGCTTTCTCGAAAAAGTGAGCCTTGCCAAATTGTAAGTTCGGAGGCTTGTGAATGCTTGTGACTTGTTTCTCAGTGCAGTGTGAAAACCATTTACTTTGCCAATATGCTCGACCGTGCAACCTGGGTTGACCTGCTGAGCGAATCGCTGCAGTTCCCTATGCGAACTGATCTCTTGTTCGTCGTTTGCGCAGTATATATGCTGTCACTGTACACGGCACGTATGTCGGAGCGGGCATGGTTGATTTAATGCAACCATGTGGGGCTTGGTCTTGCAGTTCGCCTCCCCCGACCCCTGGGGGAATAAGCTCAGGACTTTGAATGCTTTTGTAGCCGGTCTCTACGGGTTCTGCTACGCATAGTAGAACCCCTGTAGTGCTTTAGCTGATGCTATGTTCCTAGGTTTCGCATGTTTGATTTTGAGCGCTGGAGATACGGCCTTTGGCTCTCGTAGCCGCCGTTTAGTTCGGGAGGGTCTGATTTCTGTGCAGCTCCTGTAAATCA